GGGATTGATTAACGGCGAAGACTTTACCCTTTGATCCTTGAGACGTGCTGCGAAAAGTCGAGATGATGTGAGTGGTTCTTCGTTCAATTCTTGGACCAAATCTCGCCTAACTCAAGAAGCGAGAAATGCTCGATGATCGTCGATCAAGCCGTTTGTGGTGTGCCAAATTTTCGGCATCATAATTATAGCGCAAATGTATTGGTCTTACACAAGTACCTCGCGGATTCCATGGGACCTTCGCGTCGGCGCCGTTAATCTCTGGTCCACTCCCAACGAATGAACGGCACCGTCCCGAGATATTTCTGGGGTCAGCTTGTGTTCAAGGGAAGGGTACAATTCTGCACGCATACGGTATTCGTCCCCAGTACTGCACCTAGAAATAATATTTCAAAGTATTTTTCGTAGAGCCAATGGAGTGATGATGGTCACATGAAGCTGGAAAATTGGGCAGCGAGCGTCCTCTGCACTTTCAGACAGCTTTCGGCGGTATCGTGTTACGCTTCAATCTCAGTTTTCGACCGCAAATGATCCCCTATCTGCTTCTCATGGGAACTTCGCTTCTCGGAGGATGTTTTAGAATCAGGGAAGGAAGAAATTATGCGTAAAGCTCTATATAGAAGCTTCCTACCGGCAAGTGAAATATGCTCAAGTCTGGCCTAAAAATCTGAATTCGTGGTGGTGAACACCATGTGAACATTCAAAGTCTCTTCCATACCTCCTCCCCCCTCCAACACCATCGCTATGACCTACTGCATCGAATATGTACAAACCAGGTTTCGACTCTCCACATATCCCTGGATGCAAACTTCAGTATATTGATAGGTTTGGAACGCTGGCTACGAATATGGGAACCAAATTTGCTACCCGGATCTCCCAAACCACCTGTGAGCAGGAAAACATCGTGGCGCATGAAATGGCGGTGTCAGCTCGACCGCTCTCACTTTTCCATGGTAACGGACCACATGCCAAATTTCTCGTCTTTTTTTTCAGTTTTTCCTAAAACATTTCATCGAGGGGAGATTAAGGGGGGAGGGAGGGAATATCGTAACCAGTCAACTGCCAAAATCAATCAACAGAGTAGTATCTGGTAATGGCATTTCTGCGGGGCGGTCTCGTCCAGGGTTGAGACTGAAGCAATGAAGATTGCGGAAGTCAACAACCGGAAAGATTTCTCGCAGCTCGGAAAACTCTTTTTTTCGAAGGCAAATGCGACCTTTTCCCTCTCCAACGATCTAAGCCCCACCATGGTAGGATTCTTCGAAGGTGTGGTCCGCAATCAGCTCGAGCTGAAGATATGGCGTTGGGAGGGTAGTGTGGTCCACAGCGGAAACCTTGTATCGGTTTCGCGGCAAAAATTGTAAGGGAGGGGCGCTATAGCGCCGCAGTATAGGTTCAGTGACGCCTCCTTTTTTTACGGTGACCACGCCTCCAGACTCCGCCTTCAAGACCCGCCTTCCAGTGAAAAACGAAGCTGTGGGACGAGAAAGCATGAAAATCTTCACTTGTACGGTCGTCAAGTTCTCACTGAGGAATCGGAATGAGGAAAGGGGCACAACGTCGAAGATGGAGTTGGGCACGTACAAACCTGGATGGGAATGGAGTACTATCTAGGGCAATTGGCATGTTTTTCTGCCTTTTTCTTCACTATCGAATTTCTCAGAACCTTGTCGTCTATATGCAAACCTCTAATCCACTATCTGTGATGGTGAATGACCGCGGATTTTGCCTTCAGCGATGCTTCATCCCCAAAATCGTGAGAACGTGACTCTAGAGACACCTGTTGCGTGGGAGCCGAGCATCTTCCTTCAAAACGGGCACGATGTTCGTACTCAAAGGGTCAAATTACCCACGGAGACCGATTCCTGAGCGAATCATGATGCTAAAATTTACTTATTTGCCATCAGTGTATGGCACCATTCGAAGCTCTGGACGCTCCTTGTGAGATTTGAATAGCAAAACCTGCACGTTATAGCTTTCATTAGAAGCTGAAGCCTCTCTTGATAGGTGCCATCAATGCTTCAATGATTCGTGGTGTCCGGTAATGTGTAATCCAACCCCAAGCAAGATATTTTGGTCCCAAGGCACATTTGCGATCTGCAAAAAATAAACGCACTCACCGCCATTATTTGGAAACTCCAGCGAAATTTTGAGCACTTCCTCTTCATGGAGGAGTAAATCGCATTTCTCTCATTTCCTACCTTTCCATTCGCCACGGCAGCGGCGACATGTCTGCATTATTCCTGGTTCTCAGGGGGCTAGCACATAGCACTAAAGATTTGCAAGCGCAGACATCTCTTCCAGCTGGACGATATAGAGAGCAAATAACTTCTTCAAATAATTAGCCAAGGGGCAATAGAGGTTTTCAGGTGGATAGCATGTCATCGAAATCTTTGCGGAATGAAGCTTTGCGAAAGGCTTAGGGAAAGTTTTAGCGTTTTCACAGGGACACGAGCTCCAAAACCTCGTGAAAGTCTTTCTGCTGTTGCGCAATTCAAGTTTTTTTTGATTATACACTCCCTTTACAAAAGAATAAAATGCAATCCTCCGTTTTCACCGAATGCTTCATGGGATGCAGCACCCATTCTACATTTCCTTATGGCATTTTCTACGAAGAATGCTACGCGATTACTGTAGCGGGGTTTGCCTCGGATGGGAGCGGGCCCCGGGTTCCATGATCATCAGTCGAGTCTTCTTGTAACGGCGTGCCCATCCCAGCTGATCTTAGAGGCATGGATCAGGAGAAAGCGGAGTTCCTAATTCCATGAGGAAAATCTCATAGGAATTACACATCTACACAGTTTTTCATAGATACTTGTTGAGAAGCTGAAGTCATAGGGAGGGTTTTTCCGGTACATTCCCATCAGGCATCGCCTCAACAGGATTCTTGAGAAAGGCGTGTTTTGGGCGACTGACTCGGCCTAGGCGTCTTCTTATCTGTTTCCTTTCTTGCATTGTCCACCAACGCAAGAAACGCGCAAAATACGGGCCTTTATGCATGTGTACATACAACTAACTTAACAAATTTCAATACTATTATGGACGAAACTATCAAACTTGCTGTTGCTTTCACGGCCTCTCTACGCGCCTTAGTTAGAATGGTTTACAGTCCCTACTTATGAACATGTCGAAAAGGGGATTCCTATGAAACCCTCAAGAACTTATTCATTTTTTTCACCTATTATGTAGGAACAAGGACGTCCTTCATATTCTAAAGGTTTCTCGAAGAATTGCTCTTGCACTTTTCTGAACTGAGGGAAACGAGAGGGTTTGAAGCACGCGCGAAAGGGCTTGAAGTATTTGCATAAAAAAGATGCACAAAGCAATTCAAGAATTCCCATAACTCTTAGCTCCTTCCATTCAACTTTTTATTACAGTAAGCGGACCACGTTTGATCGACACACGACCAACTATCAAGCGTGGCGTGAGCAGATGACCGTTTGCGATTTGTTGCAAGAGTACGACGCAGCTGTCAGACCCAGCGGACGGACTCCATACAACAATACCAGTATGTTATCATCCATATCATTATCGATTGAAAGTTCCAATTTTGCTGAACAGAAACTTATGACACATATATTTAGGCCCCAGGGGCGGAGGGGAGGTACGTGTACCGTGACTAGGGCTTTCTCTCTGAGCAACGCACTTAATCTCCACAACATAGTTCGAAAGTAGATTCCGCACCCGTCGTATGGGCGGATCCGGGCTCATCGTTATGCTTTCCTCATTGATGCGTCTTTCCTCGGTAACGTCATAGAAACGACAATTGGGATTGCCCGCACAGCTAAGTTAGAGAGTGTCTCTCGGCTTCTTGAACTCCCAGCTGCTGCTGAAAGAACTTTTGCGTGTGGGAAAAAGCTGTTGTATTGTTGCATAATTGACTAGCCAAACTCAGATCCCACTTTATCGTTTTACGGCTCAGTTGTGATCACAACGCGGTCCATACGTCGGTGTTGGAAGGGGGGGGGTGGGAGCCACTTGCTTGCGAGCGCAGCGGCGGTATACAACGCTAGGTTCATACTCAGATCCACACCATATCTATAAGACAGCACCGATGGCATAACAAAACCTCTTACGCTTTGAACCAGCACCCCGTCATGTTCAGGGCACGTCTTACGTTGGAGATTCCTACCGAAAGGACCGTATTTGGTCGGCTGGAGAAAGAAGGGAGTCGTATTCATTTCTCGGTGAAATTTTTTCGTTTGTTGACTTTCTTCTCCTCTCCCGGTTTACGTTATCACCTCCCTTCTCTGCTCGACTCGAGTTTTTTTGAGTTTTGAGAGGGGGGGGGGGAGAAGTGGAGGAACTTCATGAGGAAACCTAGGAGAAATATTCAGGAAATTGGGGTAGTTCAGGAGAATGTTAGGGAGGATGAGGAAGGAGAGGTGGTAGAGTAGAAATCCTTGAAAGGAGGGGGCAGGGCTGGCGCTCAGTCAATTTTCTCGACGGCAGTCCGTGCCCTGCTCATTTCCACAGATACACCCCAGAACCGCGCTCAAAACCTTGGTGGGCACCCACCTACAGTGTCACCAATGTTGAGTTAAAGACAACGATATATGACGTATGAAAAGTAAACAAAGACTCTTCTCTCGAAGACTAAAATCTTTTGGTCCTGATGATTCAGTAATTCGCACATTAAAAAAAGAATTATCAATTTTTCGTTTACAGCGAGGAAGCCCGGATTTTAATCGTAACAAGTCTATTATCCGCATCAATTATCGAGCCGTTTCTGGAAAAGAATATGGTGAGTTCCTCAGAATTCCGAATCATAGTAGCATTTTATCATAGTCATGTTTAATATTTTATTATGGTTTTTTTCCGTTGGCTATTTGATTGTGTGCTGCGAGTTTTTGATGGTAATAAGTACAGTAAACTACCTGAAGCGACCGCCCAGAAAGTGGGTGTACTAGGTAGAAAACCACCAATCCAGGCCAAAGCAGATGTTAGGGCCGTTCGTATTGCTCAGCGTTGCAGGTGTCCTAGAAAGGCGGTGGATGGCTTCAATGCAAGTGGATGATGCTGTGGATGAGGGCAAAGTATGTGTAACTGAAATCGGACTGTTGAGTTTGTGTCACTTTAGCTTTCAACTGGACATTGACCGCGGCCGATCCCGAACACCGACTTTTTCAAGTGGCTCTTACTGGCACGCCACCCTAGATGTCCGGCCGTCAACGGGAAGCCACAATCTCTTACGCGTCAACTGTACATCATCAGAATATTCGTATTAGGTGCGCGGGAAGTTTGTCGCGATTTTTTCAAATTAGAGTTTTCACTTTTAGCAGAGAGGCTACCAAGATCACAATTATACGCAATGTTATTGACGCAGATCTTGCCAGTCTTCGTTTGGGCAGGCTGCCCGGTGGACACGACATCGAGCTTTCATAATTCAATGGGCGCGACGCAAAAGTCGAACATCACCTCAACTATAACTGAGGCTCAAGTCGTGGAGGTTTTCTCGGCTGTATAGCAGTTGAATACGGGAGGCGACTAGCAGTTAGAATAGCGTTGTCTGGACTACATCGGTGCAAGGGAAGAGCCGTCTCTCTATAGCATGGCTTCGGCTCGAACTTTTTTGGACGGAGTGGTTCGCACCAGCACGTTGAAAACAGTCTGTGCCAACGAATTTTTTCCCTCTGCTTGACGATTTAGGCCTCAGATCATCGTAGGCTGCTTTGGGCGTACGTCATTGACCGATAGGAGGACAGCTTCTTTCATCCTAGATAGCTTTCGCGGCCCATGAGCTATCCTCAAGCTGAGATCCACAGTACATGTCCCCAAACGGGCCGGCAATTCGTCATTCGAGCCGTAAGCCGAGCCGCTCTGGAGCGCTATCACGTCCTGAAGATCATCGTCGATAATTGGCGACATTGTCCTTATCAGCTCCATATTCGGCGTCGGATACGGCTGTCAATAGCTGGCGCCAGGGTGCTCACGAAAAAAAGAGTTGAAGGAAATGCGGTCGCCGGGAGGGGTCGTGGCGAGGTAGCGGAAACATTCTTGGTCCCTTACAGAATACGAGAGACTAGTTCGAGGGCAGGGATACTAATAGAAAGAGCCGAATCCTGTGATGTATAAATTGTGACACATTACTTGTTTAGTCTCTTCCAGTAATGGGCAAATATTTCGGATTCAAAAAGTTGAGCAGATCTTTCCCGCCCAATCTAATATTTCAAGGCAAGAAATCGGAGAAGGGTATTTTTCGTTTTATAATCTGTTAGGTTGGCTCGGTTATCGAACGGCCGGAGTCTTCTACCTCTATCTTTGAAGCTGTAACATAGTCAGCATTACAAATAATCTCTCGAGTCGACATGAAACTTGCATAGTAATAGAAGAATGGATTATTGCAGGGTGCAGGCTATATTCTTTCAAGGAGAAGAGGCATAGAGGCCGGTTCGATACGTGTGTGGGCTTCGCAATATTCTGATGATCTAGATGATAGATACCGTGATCGACAGATTTCGAACGACAAGGTGGAGACTTGGAAAGTAACTCCATAGCGCTCGTAAATATATAAGATATATATAATAAGAGAGAGAATATAGAATCTTAACAGATATAATATAAGCAAATAGAGAATGCGAAGAGAGATAAGGCAAAAGATAAAAAAATACCCGCTTAAAAGAGCAAGAAACTGTTACGTGGCAAACGTGGCTGCGCGTTCTAGCGGGTGTGGCGGAATCCTCTTTCATGAGCTTATGTCGCGTGTGGACGCTGAACATTCTGGTGTAATTCGCAAACTCCTTTATTGCACTTCACTGTCGCAATCGCCTCACCAGCACTCCTCTTGCAGGGGGTTGCGGTGGAAAAAATCGCGTCACAAATCAGTCAGTGGTGAGCATCACCCCTTTTTGTACAACTTCGGTTCATAGAAATATTCCGAAGACTTTTTGCGGTTCACCCGCTGAGCCGAACATCGCCGATTGTCATAAATTGTCCATAAATTATAATTATTAAATTCGCATGTGTGCACAAGGTGCTCCGAAGCGGCCATTACGCTTGCACTGGAATAGAGACCTAGTTACATCAATAGAGTCTCGAATGCTGATTACGAATATGCAGATTAAAAGTGCTACGGGGACCTCCCAGACGAGTTCTGGGCGGTCAAAGTTTGCGAAAGCCCTGCTGATCGATGGTTGGGCAGTGCCACCGTGGCCTAGTGGTAACGGTCTCGCTTCAAAGCCAAATGCTCGTGGGTTTGCATCCCGTTGGCGCGAAAATTTTTGCTTCGTCTCCTATAAGAGCTTTTACTCTAATTTTCGAATCTTCCGAGTTTACGATCCAGCAGAGCAAGCAGATCAAGCATATGACGTTGTCGATCGAGTATGGCTTGATCATTGCCCTCTGGTGCGCACTACCCATCCGACAACTCGAAGTTTCGACCAGAATCACTGTTGGGCCACAAACTCGTTACGCGAAAACGATCAATTTCCTCGTTCAGTTGATGACCACAACAACATGAAAGGTTTCAAGCGCTTTCCTCCCAAACAGATGCGAATTCGTGTTCAGGGGTAAAAATGCTCCCGAGAACGAATTTCTGGCCAAAACCTCGAAATGTCGGATGGGTAATGAGTTCAGAGAGAGAGAGAGCGAGAGAAGAGAGGAGAGAGAGAGGAGAGAGAGAGAGAGAGAGAGAGAGAGAGAGAGAGAGCGGATGGTGAACAAATCCATATTCGATCGAGTACATTATTGATCTATTTTATCTACTTGCTCTGCTGAATCGTAAACTCGGAAGATTCAAAAATTAGAGTAAAAGCCCTCACAGAAGACGAAGCGAAAACTTTCGCGCCAACCGGATGCAAACCGTCGAGCTTTTGGCTTCGAAGCGAGACCGTTACCATTAGGCTACGGCGGCACTGCCCAACGATCGATCAGCGGCGCTTACGAGTCAAAACTGCGTTTTCGCAAACTTTGACCACCCAGAACTCGCCTGGGAGGTCCCCATAGGCACATTTAATCTGGCCGGCCTTAGAAGGAGCCAAGCCGGAAATTGGCCTCTGGACCGCACACTTGGTAAGCGGACCTCTTGCCATAGTCATCTTCCTTGATCAAAATATCATCGAGTTAGAAACGCTGCAGAGCCTTTGTACCTGAAAGTATTTTGATTGCACTTAGAGCGCTTTCGGCAAATTTTACGATCTGACTTTGTTGTCTTGTAACGTTGTATTATTTGACCTTTCAACTTTTCGTTCAGGAATTCGTAGCGCAGTTCCGACTCCGGCAGGAATGGTTTGATGATCGTCTCCGCTTTATGGACCATCAGGTTCGCATTTAGTTCTATTGGATCGGACTCGAATGCCTCCTAAGGGGCAGCACGTATGGAATAGAAAAGATTAGGGTGTCCTGTGGCAGTAGCACACGAAACATTAGTTCTCTGACTATGAGGTGACCCAATCAGCTTAATAATTGCTTCACGTTTAGGGTCCACTTTCTCCAGAATATCGTAACTTCGAGTTCATCCATGTAGCCAGAGATCAACAGTTATGGATTCCGGACACATTTTTCCAAAATGAACGAAACGGGTGGTACCATATGTTGGACCAGGTCAGCTATACGTCCTTCGTAACAGTGAATTATGTAAAATGTACCTTCTTTGTGCATTTTTTGTGCAGTTTTAATGACGGGAACCCGCCTATCCAAAAGAAGCGTCGCTGCGAGCATGCTCTCTTTATTGGCACGATTTGCCCATAGAGAGGATCAGAGTCCTCAGGGAACCTGTGCATTAATATTAGGCAACAATACTCGAAACAGATTAGTTCTTCTGGAGTACACTACGCACATATTTCAATCAGAGTCGAAGAATTACCTAAATGCATCTCTACTGATTGAGAATCTTCAATTCGGTGATAAGCGACTAAGGTACCGTCGAGCTGATCCTTGAGGGAGGATAGGCTTTCCTGTAAGTCTTGCCTGGTCTGAGAGGGACTAGTCCGTGACTTGGTAGCCGGAGGGTAGGGGTTTCCAGGTGACCTGTGAAGGAGCGGATCGGAGATGTCATCCTTCACCGTGGGCGTCATAAGCAACCCCCTGCCACTATAACGCCTCTGCCTAATAAAGAGTTATATTATATTATTATGGCGCTGTTTATCGACGGGGGGAGGGCATTTTGTACTACCGCTGCTTCCCTTGTTCCGGTTTGCAAATCTCACCTCGTAAACACTTAACTCTCTCACAAGCCTATAGCAGAGAACGTCTAGCCACCGATCCCACAAATCTGTCAAACTCCAAAAACGCATACCTAAATGGGTCACACTCGATACATCTATGGAAAGCAAAATGCCCCCCCCCGGTCGATAAACTGCGCCTATATTACATTATTTCTTTATCATATGATTGTTTCATTATTAATTATATTATATTATTATACTATACTATATTATATTATATTCTTATACTCAGAGTTCTCGTCACTTCTCGTGTGACAACACTGGCATGATTTCAGGATTTTTGTTGATCAAAATTAAGTACATGTTTCTTTCAGGAGAATCGTTTTTTAAAAATTCGCTCAGACGGGAAACTCATCTATGACAGAAGGTTAGTAATCTGAAAACCTCTTGAACTAACACTTTGCTTGTGGCACTCGCCGAGTCCAAAGTGGCGAGGTTTTGTCATATTTATGAGCGAGTGCGCTCTCTCGACTGCTTCCCTCCGACAATGGAGTTCTCGCTCGGGGCTTGATGCAATTAGTCTGAGAGTTGTGCTTCGTTCGCGCGCTAAAAATGTCACCTCAGCTATTGGGCAACTCTTAAAGGGGCCAATAAGTCTTCAGAAACTTGGGAACTTGTAAAGGGGTCAATAAATGTTCGGAAACTTCTTCTGATTTCAGGTTAACACTTCACTTAGCGTGCTCTATGCATTTATCACGTTATCCAATGGATTCGCAGAATTGTGAAATCGCTTTTGCTTCTTGTGAGTTTCGTTTATTTATCTGGTCTTCGAGGGCTTCTCTAGGCTTCTGCACTTTTTTGTTTCAGATGCTTACACAACTGACGACATTAAATACGAATGGGATGTGGAGGCAATTCGAATTCACGACGGGGCCAATGGGGCCTTGCCGAACTTCGATATCGCCACTTTCCGTAACGGAACTTGCCATTCGAAAACCAACACAGGTACTTCACATCAGTGCCTCAACTTTGACTAGGGTAAAGATAAGCGGTCGAGGAGTGGAGTTGACAACGTTTGTCGAACCTTCTCAGATCCTCCAAGCGTCCAATTCTCATTCATCGGCTATGATATGAATTTACACCTAAAGAGCCCACGTTGCATCCCTTTTAAAGAGTTTTTCAACTGCGAGGAAATAACTCATACGCCGTAAATCGTCACCCCGAGACGAGTAGGATTAATACGCCTGGCAGACGGAATTCCGCGCTCCTGAGCAGGCGCTGCACTGCCCTGTTTCGTAGCCTCATGGGGCCCATCAAGCTACAACATACCGACCCGGAAGCCCACCGCGCCTGTCCTGCCCACAAGTGGACGATCGTACCTGATGCTTGTATTGCTTCATTTGCGAAATAAAATGTTGAAGCGAAGGGATTGGTACAAAGCGGCGCGGATACGTCACGTACACCGTACTACCTTAGCCCAGCGTTCAGACTTCGCGACAGCGCCTCGGTCGCTCGTTCGGCGCCATCGATGCGCATGCTTTCAACTGCATCGATCGCGTCGAAAGCGCGACCGAAGCGCTGCCGTCGCGAAGTCTGAACGCTGCCTTAAACACTTATTGCAAGATGCGTACGTGGAAAAATCGTCCAATAAACATGATTATGAGTCATCAAAAAAAGGCTTTCCTCAGCATGGTTTCGTACTATTCACTTCATTTCCTTAATGTCCGGCGTCTATACCCACGCTGGTAGCATTTTGGAGCCGAGTAAACACTATCGCGCTATCTCCTCTTTTTAAATACAAAATGGTATGTAGACCCATGTCTAGCCCTGGACCGTGGCCTTTAGAAATTCACGAGATTTGGCTTCATCTAATTGTAAGACGTCACTGTCGAGGAAACCTGTGTTGAATCACTGCCAAGTTGTCAAGCCATGTTATTGACGTATGAAGTGACGTGCTTCTCAGCCAATTCATTTCTACTATAAGAAAGTAAAAACTGGCCACGTTGTAGAAATAAACGTCATTTGAACGGCGTCACTGCGCTTTCAGCGGATTTCATATGACAACAGAAGTCGCGTGACATATTTGGAGGTAAGAAGACCGTCAAATGCTGACCTTTCTTGCCCCCCCCCCTGTAGAGCTGCCGCCTTTTCACATGTGTTAGATGAACTAATCAAGCTATCCCTTGTTCTGAGAACGGTAACCTGTATCTACCTTGTAAGAGGGAATAGAAAAACAGCAAGAACAAGGGGAGTCCGCACCTGGAAACTGTGCTCTTAGAAAAGGCCGCCATCGAAAAGTAGTGATTACTGCCGCCTTTATTCTTTGTCCTTTCCTGCACCGAGGGTGCAAATTATGTAAAGCAACTGCGGGACTCCCTCAATTTTCCAGGAACCCACATCATTTATGCTGCTTTTTATACTTTCATATTTTTGAATTGCGTGCCACCGCAGAACATTGTGCGAGCAGTTTCTGGAGGAGGTTGAGTGGCCACTTTACCGTCAAATTATCCTTAAGCACCGCCAAATTTTTATTAACAAGGTGTTTCGGCGCGTGATATCAGAAGGGCCCGGAGACTAAAAGTGAGCATAACATCCGCATACAGGATTTATCGAAGATACGCTGAGTCAAGGAGCTTCTCTGACCGAGGTCACAAAGTCTCTTTCTCCTGTACAGTCATCATCCGGGCAGTTGATTAGCCGGTCGTGACGCGCCGCAGCCGCGGCTGCGACCCTTTGACCGCTTAATCAACTGCCCGGATGACGAATGTACTCCAGTTCGAATATGGGAGAGTATGAGAGACCGCTTTCTTTTCTGCAGCATTCGAAACCTTCCCTTTTGCGAAAGGGCCGCATTTTTATATGTATAGGTATTATAAACGTTTCCTAAAATCGGATTTGAATGCGCCAGAGAAAGGGCCTTCAGAAGAAGTAGA